ATACAGTGCATGACGGGACCACGACAGTGCTTTGTTTGATGACATTCGTAGAAAAGTCCAGAAATTGCTCCTACACTGTGTTCGTTGTTCGGATCCAAGTTGCATAACCCAGCATCTACAAATGGCACCGATAAGTGCAGTACCGGTTAATGACTCTAGATGAAGAGTGATTAACAGGCGGACGTAGAGGTACAAGCCGCGTGTGCAGTCAAGTAGCTATCAAGTGACAGGCAACCAAGACTGCACTTATCACCGCCGATAGTGAATGTTGGGGTATGTGAGGTCCATGGCTGTCTAGATACAAGACGTTGCGCGACGTTGCGCGACGAAGAGGAAAGAGAGGTCGCGCTGTGTGGGCGACGGGGGTCATGGCGAAGCCTTGACTCGCGATACCTTTGACACACCCTGGCACCCAATCCCGTGACTGATCATGCAACATGGATCTAAACCATGATCACAGCGTAAAAAGCAGTTTCTGGCTTGAGCTGTGGCTGTCAGGATTTTTTTTGCCGCGACAGTTTCCGTCGCACGCTGTTTTGGTTTCAAGGCATCTTAGAAACCGATTTCGGATTGCTCTGTACGCATTTTACGTTTTGTCGTTGGTTTATTGTCTTGGGAAGTTGGTGGTGTGAGTGGAGGTGTCTTACCCTCCCGTCATGGCGGAACCAATTGAGGCGGAGATTGTGGTGGACCCGGATGACGCCCCTTTCTCGACGCCAAAGCGCCCGATTCGAGTAGCGAGGCCGACCATCAAAATTCGAACCACGACCCGACAGGACGAAGAAACAGTGCAGGAACCGAAGCGAACGATCAGGAACACAACGCGATCAGCATCAATCGAAGGAACGGCGGAACGAGTGAGCGAAACTAGGAGAAGCAGTGGCGGCGGCGGAAGTAGCGGAAGCAACGATGGCCGGGCAATGCTCCAGAAGGCTTTGGAGTTGCTGGGTGAATCCCGCAAGGAGTCCCAATGGCTGAAGGAAGCGCTCAAGCGGCAGATGGAGGTGGCACAGAAGCAGGAAGAAATGATACGAGACTTGAGCTTGAAGTTGGACGAAACCACGAAACAGATGAACGAAGAACTGAAGCAATCCCGCGAAGAACTGAAGCTGGTCCGCGAGCAACTCGAAACGATCGCGACAAACGCCACGCAATCCCCGTCCATGTCGTACGCCGATGTTGCGCGATCAGCCCCATCTTCCCAACCAACCAACCTCCGAACGATTTCGTCATTTAACACAAAGCCGTCTAACCTCTCCGACACGCTGTACTGTACCATCGATACATCCCATGCTGAAAGCGAAGCAGCCGAGCAAATGTCGGTCGGCTCAATCCGAACGATGGTAGAGAGCCAGATCCGTGCGGGCGAAGGCGACACCGCGTCTTGGCGGTGCCGAGCAGTAACGAAGGACCCTAGGAACCCCCATCGAATTAGGATTGCTTGCAGAAACGACGACGAACACGCGATGGTGAAGCGTGTGGTGGATGCGAACCTAGCACGAGGAGCCCGGATGCTCCGTGACGATATTTACCCGATCCGAGTGGACAGCGTCAACCGCACAGCTGTACTGGATGAGAATGGGGACATTCGCGCCGGAGCAGCTGAGGCTTTTGGCGTGGAGAACGACGCAACGATTGCGAAGATAGCGTGGCTCAGTGATAGGAGCGTTGCGAAGGCGTACGGATCGATGGTGGTGTATCTGGGGAAAGCGGCGGATGCACGCCGGTTGCTCGGCGAAGGCTTCTTCCACGCGGGAGGAGAGTCTGGCTACACGAGGCCCTTCGAGCGCCGAGAACGACCGAAGCAGTGCTACAACTGCCAGGAGATCACTGACCACAAGGCCTACCAATGCATCAAGCCCAAGGTATGCGCGAGATGCGCCGCGGAGGGGCATGGCCACCACGAGTGTAGCGCGACGATCCTGAAATGCGTTCCGTGCGGAGGACCACACGAATCGTTCAGCAGAAACTGCAGGAGACTCTTCCCCACTCGACATGAGTAAACGTTTTCGAATGATGCAACTTAATGTGATGAAGCGCGGCGAGGTACACGAGAGCTTGATGAACGACAAGGCAGTTAGGGATGCAACGGTGTTGGCCATCCAGGAGCCGCAGGCGAGGATCACCCAAGGCCGCCTCCTCACAACCCCGATGGGGCACCAGGGGTGGACGAAGATGGTCCCGTCAACGTGCAGAGAGGGTAGATGGGCGATCAGGAGTATGCTATGGGTGAACAAGGAAGTGGAAGCGGAGCAGGTGCCGATGGAGTCACCCGACGTGACGGTGGCAGTTGTCCGGCTCGAGGAGCGGCTGGTGGTGGTTGCGTCGGTGTACGTGCCGGGAGGTGAGAGCCAAGCTCTGCGGAGCATATGTGACAACTTGCGACGAATCGTGTTGGACACTAGACAGCGCGCGGACAGGGTAGTGGATGTGGTCATTGCCGGCGACTTCAACCGACACGACCAGCTCTGGGGCGGAGACGAGATCTCGATGGCCAGGCAGGGCGAAGCGGACCCAATCATCGACCTTATGGACGAATTCGGCCTCAGCAGTCTACTACCGCGTGGCACAAAGACGTGGCAGAGAGGGGAGCACCAGTCGACCATCGACCTCGTCTTGGCGTCTGAAGATCCGACGAACTCGCTAGTCAAGTGTGCGATACACGAGACGGAACACGGGTCGGATCACAGGGCCATTGAGACGATTTTCGACGTCTCGATTCCTACACCGACACCACGGGAGCGCCTACTGTTCAAGAACGCGCCGTGGAATGAGATCAATGCCAGGATCGAGAGAGCGCTGGAAACGACAGCTTGTGAAGGAACGGTGCAGCAAAAGACGGACAGATTGATGGCGGTGGTGATGGAGGCGGTCCATACCCTAACACCGAAGGCTAAGCCGTCGCCGTACTCGAAACGGTGGTGGACGGCCGACTTGACACAGCTTCGTCGGATTTATACGTACTGGAGAAACCGAGCGCGTGCAGAAAGGCGAGCGGGACCAGCCAGGGCGGATCTGGAAGAAAGGGCAAAGGGCGCGTCGAAACAGTACCACGACGCGATTCGTCAACAAAAGAGAAAGCACTGGAACGAGTTCCTGGCGGACAACGACAACATATGGAAGGCTGCCAGGTACCTGAAAGCAGGCGATGAGGAGGCTTTCGGCAAGGTGCCGCAGCTGGTCAGGACAGACAAAACGACGACGACGAACCACACAGAACAAGCAGAAGAGCTACTTACCACCTTCTTCCCTGCCCTCCCCGAAGACATTGACGAGGAGGGTGACAGACCGCAGAGAGGTGCGGTGGACATGCCACCTATCACGATGGAAGAAGAGGAACGCCAGCTGTTTTCGACAAAGTCGTGGAAGGCACCCGGAGAAGACGGGCTCCCGGCGGTGGTCTGGAAGCAGATCTGGCCGGTGGTGCGGGACTGGGTCCTGTCGATCTTCCAGGCATCACTGGAAGAAGGAACACTGCCCCACCAGTGGAGGCATGCAAAGATCATACCGCTCAAGAAACCGGGCAAAGACAACTACACGCTGGCAAAAGCGTGGCGGCCGATCTCGTTGTTAGCTACGCTCGGTAAGGTGCTGGAGTCGGTGATGGCGGAGAGGATATCGCATGCGGTCGAGAGCCACGGTCTCCTACCGACCAACCACTTCGGAGCGCGGAAGCAGCGGTCAGCCGAGCAAGCGCTCCTGCTCCTCCAAGAGCAGGTATACACGGCATGGCGAGGCCGGCGCGTGCTCAGTCTGGTCAGCTTCGACGTGAAAGGAGCGTACAATGGGGTGTGCAAGGAAAGGCTGATCCAGAGGATGAGGGCGCGAGGCATCCCCGAGGACCTCCTCCGATGGGTCTCTGCCTTCTGCTCCGACCGCACGGCAACGATCCAAGTCAACGGACAATCGTCGGAGAGGCAAAGTCTACCCCAGGCAGGACTGCCTCAGGGATCCCCGTTATCCCCAATCCTGTTCCTCTTCTTCAACGCGGACCTAGTGCAAAGACGCATCGACAGCAATGGAGGAGCAATGGCGTTTGTCGATGACTTTACGGCATGGGTGACCGGACGGACGGCTCGAGATAACCGCGCGGGCATCGAATCCATCATCGGCGATGCTCTCGACTGGGAGAGAAGGAGCGGGGCCACCTTCGAGGCGGACAAGACGGCCATCATCCACTTCACCCGGAAGGACTACAAGTCGGACCCGGGTGCTTTTACAATCAAAGGTCAAATCGTTCAACCAAAGAAACACACCAAGATCCTCGGCGTCATCATGGACGCTGGGCTCAAGTACAAAGAACATATTGCTCGGGCGTCGTCGAAGGGTCTACAAGCGGCACTCGAGCTGCAGCGACTCAGGGGCCTATCACCAGCGACGGCGCGACAGCTGTTCACAGCGACGGTGGCGCCGGTGGTGGACTACGCCTCCAACGTATGGATGCACGCGTACAAGGACAAGCTCATAGGGCCCATCAACAGAGTACAGAGAGTATCGGCAAAGGCGATAGTCGGCACGTTTCTCACGGTCGCGACAAGCGTGGCAGAAGCGGAGGCTCACATACTCACCGCGAAAGAGCGCTTCTGGAGGAAGGCAGTCAAGATGTGGGCGGATATCCACACACTACCGGAGACGAACCCACTCCGCAGGGTGACATCCAAAATGCGAAAATTCCGGAATTCCTTCCGCTCGCCTCTCTTCCAAGTGGCTGAGGCTCTGAAGGACGTGCCGATGGATAGGATCGAGACCATTAACCCGCTCACGCTGCTACCATGGGAAGAGAGAATCAAAGTCAAAATCGGTCAGGAAGAGACAAAAGAGACGGAGTCTGCCAGCACGATCCGTGTCGCGGTCAGTAGCTCAGTGAGAAGTGGAATGGTAGGTGTCGGTGGTGTCGTTCAGAAATGGTCGGGGTCACGGGCCGACCCCGCGCTTGAGCCTTTCTCCTTCACGCTAGGCTCAAGGGCAGAGCAGAATCCCTACAGCGCAGAACTGGCAGCGATGGCATACGCGTTGCGGCGGCCGCTGCGAGGGGTGAAAGACAAGAGGATCAGGGTGTTAACGAGCAACAAAGGAGCAGTGCTCTCACTCAAACACCCCCGTCAACAATCCGGACAAGCGTACATGCGCAGTGTATACGATTCGGTGGAGGAACTTCGAAAGGACGACAACGACATCACGATACAATGGGTGGCCGCAAGCGAGGAAGACGAACTGCTTGGGAAAGCGAAGGCTCAAGCGCGCGAAGCCACCAAGGACGACGCCACCCCGCAGGCACAGTTTCCAATGATGAAGTCAACGACACTCAACGTAGCACGGTCAAAAGTGTCACAAGGACGCGCGCTACCCGAAAAGGTCGGACGATTCTCCAAGAGAGTCGACACCGCGCTGCCAGGAAAGCATACCCGCCAGCTGTACGACACGCTTACATGGAAAGAGGCGACCACTCTTGCACAGCTAAGAACCGGAATGGCAAGACTGAACTACTATTTACATCGAATCGACGCAGCGCCTTCGCGCATGTGTGGTTGCGGACAGGCAGCCGAGACGGTTGAGCATTTCCTCTTCCGATGCACAAAATGGGCGACACATCGGGCAGAGATGCT